GTTTTTGTGACCAAAACTTTATCTCTTTCATTAAAACCGCAGAGTAAAATTAGAACCTAATTAGCTTCAAAGTGCGAATGTCTTGTGCAAAAAGTTTTACAAATGCCACAAAATAAGAACACTTTTTGAAAAAATGGTGTCAGTGGTTTGTTTTTCATTGCTAAATTGAAAAGTATATTGAACAAACAAAAAAATCTAAATAAAATCAGTATTTGGTCTGATCAAGACAAACTATTTCAGTTCTTCTAGGTGCACTGTTTTGTGGATTTTGGATAAACTGGGGTGGACGAACTAACCACAGAGCTTCTGTGGATGTGGGCCCACTGAAATCCTTTTGTCCTCCTGATGTAATCCTGGACAGATTCAGTGGTGGTCATGTAAAGGCTCTGGAAGGGTCAGGCTCTCACTGAGACATATTTCTTTTCTTTACGCTGCAGATCGCTCTTAAAAACATTGGCTGGGGTCGCAGATTAAGCTTTGGGCTGGTCATACGCCCTCCTGGTGAATGTGTATCTGCCTGTATTTCCAAACTTTTGGACAAATTTTAAACTCCACCTGTGAATTAAAATGCACTTGCAAGACCTATACTGCAAATGCTCAATTTTGTGCTACTCTCCTTTGATTTACAGTCTGCCTCCTACGGCCTTTTGTTTCAAATTTTGATGAGAACAGCTAGTTTTTTTTTTTAAGTCTGCAAGCCAGATCCAGTGTTTTTCCTCCTTTCCATGTCAGAGGTAGGAATTCTGGCCACAAATCTTCCATGGAGACCGTTGTTTGGCCAGACTTTTCTGTACAGAGGTGTTTGTGAGTCCCACATCTGTATGCTGGTGGTTTGAATCCGTCCTCTACAGTTCGGCTGTTCTTCAACCAGTTTTGAGTCTTCTCTTCCTGTTTAAGTTTGTGTTGTTGTCTCATCCACAAACTGATCATTAGATCAGACCTGTCAGTCAGTCTGTGGTTCTTTAGCTACTGAGCTGAAGTAAATCTTAATGGGTGAGGACCATAAATCATTAAATGGACCTTCTGAGATGATGGCTACAGACCTGAGAGGTGATCCTGGTTGGACATCAGAGGCTAATGAAACCAAATGTTGATGATTCCATTTAGATTTGTATGTTCTTCAATGTCTTTTCATTTTGTAATGTTGATGAAAGCTAGTTATTGTTACAGAAGTTTGCTACATTTTTTTCACACTGGCCTAAAACTTTTAGTCGATGTTGAAGGTAAGTACACCTCCAGATGAAGCGACCTTTAAGTTTTCATATTGGCAGAATCTCACATTGTTGTTAGGGAATTTTGACCCGCTCTTGAGTTCGCTGAGGTTTGTTTGTATACAGTTCTGTTAAGGTCCCAGAAAGATTGGATATGAAGTGGGTCATTGCAAGACCTTGATTCCTTTTTCTATTCAGACATTCTGCTGTTTGATTCTTTCTGAGACACAATTTCAGTCATTCTTTAGCTGTCAGACATGTCAGCCTAGAAAGATTTAATGTACAGAATAGTTTAGTCCATTTTGACCATATGTTCCCAAAAGAGAGGAGCTTTTTGGTTTGTGAGATGCAGCTTTGAAAGTCTAATTGGTGGTAGCATTTTAGAGGTTTTAGTATCTAACATGCAAAGTGACACCTACTTTTTGCTGGTTCTCTTCTTTGTCATAGCATTTGAGACTGAGATTGAGGCGAATTTGTTCAGGCACCCACTTCAGGGAGGCATTTCAGCTGTATTGTGTATTTACCATGTGAACAATTTTAGTGTACAATGAACTCCAGGTCAGGTTAAATCACCTCATACGACTCCCTATTTTCATGCACAGTTTCACGTCGTCCTTCACACTGGGTTAACATTTACCTACACACATAAAAACAAGAAAATATTCTATGTAAAAGAAAACATTTTCTGAACGTGATTCTATAAGAAATTCCTTGGTTAATTCAGTTTTCGGACAAACTATGTTTTTCTATGTTATAATACATAAAATATGACATAGAATGAATACTATGATTTTTTTCAAATACAAATGTTGAAAAAAAGGTTGAACAAATAAAGTAAATCAGAGGAGTTATGTGGGGCATTTGGCTCTCCCTCTTTTACCTCCTCTGCATTCAGAACTGCACAAAGAACTCAAAGATGTCTTGCAGTTTTTTCATACTGGAGTTTAATAAAGATCTCGTTCACAATATAGCTCTTTAACTCTCAGATGGGCGTAAATTCCAGGTCCATCGCAGCTTTAAAGCCTTGGTCTGCTGTGGAGCACCTTTTTTACTTTAAAAATAATATTGTCTTATTAATTGCATTTATTCGTGAGTTTACTTAACAGGATGTTTCAGTTGACCTTGGTGGATTGTTAGATTTTCACTCACCTGTAAATTAAACAAAGTGTTTTTTGTCCACATTTTTTCTCCATGCGCCTTTAGCTATATTTAATTTCTTTTTTTCTTTTTTTTTTTTACCTTCAAGTTAATTACAGCAAGAATGAGCAGATCTGTTTGCCCCTTAGGCAAAATAAAGGAGTTCTCTGAAACCTTTTTTTGAAAATGAATTAATTCTGAGTGGTTCTCACTTTTCTGAATTAACATGAAACAAGAACTTAGACTTTTGTCTTCTGAACGCAGTTTTTTTCTGATAATGTTTGGCTGCAGAAGTTCTTTTTTTTTCTCTGTGTTATTGTTTATTTTTGAGTCACACAGAAAAAACTGGAACACAAACTTATTTCATCTTTTGGTACAATTATCCTGCTCGCAAGCCTGTTTTTGATATTTGCAGAGAGAAGAAAAAGAGCTCCTGAAGGCACCAAACTACACATGCGATAGCTGAATCTGGGTCAGTGATTTATGACTTATCCGTGGTGAAACCTAGCCAACAGCTCGCAGCACACTTCATTATGCACGACTTCTGGTCGACGTACAAGAAAAATAAAACGGCTAACTGAATTTTTAAAAAAAGCATTCATTGGTCCACGAAAATAGGAGTGTGGTCCAAAACCGGGATCTGCCCCGTGCTGTAAACATGCTTATTTGACTGTGAAGTTGGACATTTTAACATTAAGGTCTATGGGAATTGATTATCTCTCTCCCAGCCCTGAGCAGCTACTGGAGGAACTTTCAAGTTTGGGTTCAGATCTCACCAACAGATGTTTTCCACTTCGTGCTATCTTAGCTCTCAAAGCCTTTATACCTCCACGGCCCTCGCGGCCAGATGAGTTTGACCCGATGCTTTGGGCTGTTTGGTTGGTGGAAAGAGATTGAAGCTCACGGGAGGCTGTGCCTTCTCAATAACAGCTCGAGTGGTTTTTTGCCCCCACCCTCACCCCACCCACCCAAATGGGGAGAAAGATTCAGTCGTATTTACTTTCAAACCTGCTGGAGAATTTGTCCCTCTTTTTTTGGGCGGGCGGGGTCTTTGGAGTTATCAATTTATAATTTATTATATTTATTATTTATTCAAATGTGTGCAAGGACACAGAGACTAGATTTGGACCCACTTCTGTTTCTGAAAGTCTAAACAAATAAAAGACCAGAGAAATATAGCACTACATAGAGGTGTTTATGAAAAGGAAGGGCTCTGAGTAATTGTAATTCATGAAAAATTTAAAAAACTGTGTGACAGTTTGAGTCTCCATCAGAGTCCTTCTGACTCACTTTACAAACTGGTGTTTTATAAACATCTTTGTGAAGTTTTTTCTTTATTTAAAGTTAAAAAAATCATATTTCTTTAAGGCAATACCATTAAGAAATCTTTGAAAGGGCCTTTATAATGTCTGCATTCTCCATCTTGATCTGTACCAAAACAATCAGTGTATTTGACTAGTAAAATTGCTCTTCCAGCTCAGTTAGGCCTTCTTATTGACAATGAAGGGAAAATCAATGAAAACATTCATTCTCATGGACAGATTGAAGATTTGAATGCGTGTTCGGTACTCGACTACATTGCCGTTTAATAGAAAACTATTCAGGACTCCGTCTTCAAAAGATTTATAAGGACACCAAACTTTTCCAAATCAATCAGGTCAGCTCTGGTCACGTCAGCTTTTACTAAAGAAACAAGCTGCAGAAACTGTGGGAGTCTCTTATCCTGATTTTGTTGATGTAGTCAGTTCTTTCTTTGAATATTTCTAATTTCTTTCATGTGAATTGGTCCATGTCCCTCCACTGATTTTAATTTATACTCTGACTCTCACTACAGCAAACTACTGTCTCATGTTACATATAATTTCTCTTCCCTGACAGTAGATAGTGTTAATGTCCAGACTTTTATCTTGTTAAGTAAATTGCTGCATAAATTGTAACTTAATTAAGTCACTGTACATTTATTGGGATGTCATAGGATTATTTAATCAGGATCCTACTTTATATGGTTTTACAAAGTACCTGTGAGCTTGTGTTTTATTATCTTAGGGATTATATTAAACCTTTGTCATGTCCTGGTTGCTAAAGCAAAGAAACGGTTACATATTTGCTTTAATTATGGCAACATTAGAGCGCCGGTTTAAGTCCATGACGACTGTTTTGTGTGCACTGATTTAATATTATTTCAAGCTCCCAGAGTTGAATCGGAAGTTAATCTTAGTGTGAAGCTGTTTTGACCCCAGGCTTCTTTAGTTAATTTTACTTTGTTTTTGGTCCTTATCTCTTCAATCTGTCAATACATTTAAAAAAAAAATAGCTTTCCTATTCTTTCTGGTGCAGAAGAGCATGGTTTTGATCTCCATCTGCCTCTCGATAAACATCTGGATGTGTCGGTGGAAATATATTTTGTGTGCGACCCATCTAGTCTGAGTGGGAGATTTGGAGATGAAATTGATCCCTGCAGATGTGGTATTGACAGCAGATGTTTTCATAGTAGCACTGCGGAGCTGTTTGTGATAACGGAGCATGACAGCATCAGCTCTGACAGAGTGTGAAGAGCCTGTGGAAAAATAGACCAGTTTCATGGCTGTGAGCATCATAAATTACATGACTGTGGAAGTTCAAACAACCAGAGTATGTATTTTTTAATCTAATTTGTCACACTCGTTTTCGATGCCATTTTTACTATTACTCTAAAGAAAATAGCTTTTCCTATTCTGAGTGGAGGAGTGTTTTTGTTCACAGCAAAACAAGCCGCCTGGCAAAGTGAAGCGTCCTTGTTTAACCCACATTCTGAATACTTTAGAGCTAAACGTCTACCACAGGGCAAGATCACGGAGCGTAGCCCGTCTCCTGAATGTAGCCGAAAACACAGCCAGGGGTGCTTTTGTGAAAGTTTCCCTATTTTCTCCATCTTAAATTCAAGGATCAAGTCTTCATTTGGCTTCTAACCTCAGGTTTGTGCAGGTCCAAATGAACTATAAGACATGCGTCGTGGCCCTGAGCAGGATCAGGACATGGATGTAGGGCTGGTAGTTGTTTTTTCTGCTTTAACACAGTGAAATCCGCCTAAGGATGGTGAACGGAGGGATGGTGGAGGGGGGGGAGGGGGAGATAAACCTGTCACAGCCCGAGGAGACAGGTCTTGGGCTGTGCTTAGCTTAGCTCTGCTGCTGTGTAATGTTGTTTAAAAACTCCACGGTGCTTTCAGGTGTTTCCGGCCATGTGGCCAAACACTGGGAGTTTTATTTCTCACCTGAGTAGAGCTATGAGATCGGGGCTGCCCATCAGTCTATATGCATTAAATACCAGCCAAATTTAAATATAAAATTTTGGTTTATTTCTTTGGCAAAGTCAAAGCGAGGAAAAGAGGGAAATTTTAGTTTTCTTTTCTTCGGTTGACAGGATTTCACTGAGTTAACAAGCTAAATGTTAATTAAAATGCCCTTTAGCTGTGCTGATAATAAATCTTGTATATAAATCCTGAAACATGGTAGAAAATATTTTGCCTGTTTATCTGTTTTTTTGTTACATACATAGATTTCTAGTATCTTCTACTTCTCTGGCAGTGACATTTTTATGCAATCATGTTTGATATTGTGCATGTTACATAGATTTTTATCTATAAAAAAACATATCCTATTTTGTTCTTATTTCAGTTATCTTATTCCACTTTGTTCCAATGTTTGACCTGTCATTGTTTAATAGCAACTCGGCTCACAGCAAGACATGAGAAACTGTTTCAGTTTTATCATGTCCGGACAGAGGAGCCTGGAGTCCGGGTCACAGTCTGAGAAAGTCATAAAAGCTATTTACTGTCTGTTCACATGTTCCAGGTGTGCAGAGGCAGGTTGTTCACTGTGTGGAAAAGACGACGGGGATAGCTGAGGAGCACTTTTGTGACCCCTTCACTCGACCCGATGATAACCAAACCAGCTGCAACAAGGATCCATGTCCAGCCGTGTGAGTCTGCCCTCCAGATGTTATTTTCTGAATGACCTCAACAGTTTCAGACGCATGAGAAGAGACACTTGATTTTTATCCTTTCCAGAGCCAAATGATTTGTTAGTTTGAATGAAAGGGTGAAAGTGTAGTGTGAATGAAACCAAACACAAAAAATCCCAAGTTGCTTTATGTAACTGCTGGTTCCCATTCAGTTTAGTTGCTGAATAGACAGTGTTTTAGGAAAGAGAATTACATTTTTTTTGTACTTTTTTCATACTCTTGAAAGCAGATTATGGTTATTTTTGACATCCGCACATCAGACCCGGGTTATTTTTTCATTAAAGAAAGGACACAGCTGCCAGGTTGCTGAGATCAAAGCGCCGCCACTCCTGAGATAACTTTTCCTTCACTTCAAAGCGTAGCTTGTTAACTTCTGATGAAATCACTCCTCAAGACTAATTTTCTTCCTGAAAATCGACTTTTCGACACATGAATCACAATCTGTTACGTTGTTGCAGATGCTGCAAATTCACCAACTGAAATAACATGGAGACACTAAACACATTATCAAAGCACCTTATGATTAATAGACATATTTGTTATTTACTTGATTTGTAAAAATAATCTTTTGAATTGTTTTCTATGCACAGCTTTCAAAATTAAAAACCATTACTCAGTGAAAAAGGTTTATCATAGAAACATCACAATTACTTTTTAATTAAACTTTTTTCAAGTTTTTTTTGTAACTTTTTAGTAATTGTTTGTGCTTTACTCTGCACAGTCCATTCAGCTGAAAACCAAGAGCTCTTATGATATTTTGCCCGTGATGAGCATCTCATTTATTCTCTCAGACATTTCTTGTCATGGTTTTGGACATTAACTTTTTAAAAAATGCCTAGCCTGAAGTGAGTTTAATCAATCCCTCCCTCATTGGGAGGAACTTCTTAAAAGGAAATCAAAATCTGTTTCACCATCTGTCTCCATTACTGTTAGCACGATTACGGTGCCTTTGTATTTTCTTCTTCTTTTTTTCCTGAAAAAAATTGAAATCCATGTATTGACCAGTCATTTTGGTAAAACCCCACAGGCCCAGGATGGTAATTGTACGTAGGGACAATAAAACCTCTAACCGCTACATTTGTTAGATGTTTGAATCGGTACAGAGGTATATTCCTGGATTATTTTTTTTTATCCCAGGCATACAATTAAATTGGAAATCTTTGAATCTTTTGTGTTTTTCTGTGCAGATGGTGGGTTGGAGATTGGCAGAGATGCTCATCGAGCTGCGGCAGCCTGGGCATGGCTCAGAGGACGGTTCTGTGCATTCAGGCTGTGAACGCAGAGGAGCGGAAAGCTCTGGAGCCCAGTGAGTGTGAGCACATCCCCAAACCCGTGTCCACTTCCCCCTGCAACGCTCACGTCCCCTGTCCAGCTGAGTGGAGCACTGGCAGCTGGTCAAAGGTGAGTCGAACTGGCCTCAGAGGAGAAGAAAATGATAATGATAATTGTGTTGCATGTATTCAGAAACAATCCAAACTGCTTTCTGAATTTGGTGAAAATGAGTCTCTTCGTGCTACTAGTCTCTCCTCATTAATTGTTTCGCTTGCTTGTTTTCTTGCTGTACACACGTACTTTTTTTGGTGCACGTTTCACATTTTTCAGAATTGCTTTTCAAGGTTGAGCAGTTGGATTGATTGTTGGTTCGCTAATAGCTTTTCATTGTTATATGCTCAGAAAGTAATGTGATGTTGGTGATAGTGCTTGTTGTCACATCAGACCTGTGGAATGACATGAAAGTCAAATGTTTGTATCAAAACACATCCCTGATCTTAAGTAATGTTTCACTGATTGATTTTGGCTTGTAAAGAACTTTTCTCCTTCAGGGGATGTTTTTTGGTTCACCCTTTAAAGCCTGATCCGAGAAAAATAGAAAGAATATTGGATTTTTTTAGTCTTTCTTTGGCCCCTCAACAACATATGAAGAAAAAAAACAGAAATAATTTTTTATCAAATTAGCGTGCAATAAGTGAAAAATATATTTTGGTGTAGTCTTCTACTGGCTGTTATCAGGAATATCTGAATGTGTACAACAGGGGTTTGAGCAAAGCTTTTACCACTGAATGATGCAAAAAGTCTCAGATCCCAAAAACTTCAGAAACCGTATGAATCAAATATGATAGATTTGGCATTATAGGGTAAATATATATATATATATGCTTTCCTTGTTGCTTTTTTGTGTGTAGATTTACAGGATTGAGTGGAAATGTGTCTCACCCCCTCGGTTTCCTTTCTTCCCTCCTGCAGTGTTCGGTGACTTGTGGAAGTGGAGTTCGTCACCGTAACATAACCTGCTCTCGGAACACCGATGTGGACTGTGACCCCCAAAAGAGACCCTCCTCTTTCACGCCTTGCCACACCGAGGAGTGCCCGCAGGTCATGGATAACTTCGGAGGCCCTGAATGGTCTGGCAGTGGTTGGCCCAGCAAAGAGGTCCTCAACGAGATCAACGCCATCCCCGCCGTGAAGCCCGCCCCCAAATTCAGCGCCCCCAGATCCCACCAGAGACCCGACGGCGACCTGAACCGCATCGTCGACTTAGACTTCCACTACCACAACAACATCGAGAACCGCGAACGCGGCCGAGAAAACCCCGTTCAGGTGGACGACTTTTACTACGATTACAACTTCATCAACTTTCACGAAGACTTGTCGGAGGACTTCGAGAGTGGCACAGAAAACTCAGAGGCGTTCAGCACAAAGCCGACAAACAGTCTGAAAGACTATTATCACGCAGAAACAACACCAGCCCCCACTGCTCTTACGCTTTCAGAGGTCCACACTCTGAAAACAGAGGACCCGCAGAACACTAAAGGACTCCACACAAAGACCGGCTCTGAGCAAGCACCTTCTGAAAATGTGTCTGACTTGCTTTCAGAGGATTATCTGCTCCCAGTTTCTGCCACGCAGCCACCGCTGTCATCATCATCTTCAGTCCAACATTTACAAACAGAAGAAGTGGATAAAAATCCGCTTTGGCCTGAAAACACCAGCACGGAGCCAGGTCTGCTTTTCTCTACAAAACTGCCCACAGAGGACCAGAAGTGGGGGCAGTTTGAGGAGGTGGATGAAAATGATGATTACGGGCGAGAGGAAAATCAATATGAGAGTTTGCTGGTGACCCCGACACTTACTGTTCCCACCACGACGGGGACTGCTCAGGAAACGGGGCGAGGGGATGTCTCAAGAGAAGCAGAGGACCTCCAGAGTCTGAATCCTTTAAGCTCCCCCATGCCAGGAACTAAAAGTCAGGTTGAGGACGAAGACAGGTTTGACGGAACTACTTTCTCAATACCTCAAACGCTCCTCCAGTCCACTAATTTCCCAGGCCTATTCCCAACGGGGAATTTGGACATGTATCTCAGTACCTCACACAAAACCGATGACTCATGGGAAACCAGCAGAACAGCACCTCCTCCCACTAAGAAGTCTGCTCCTCTTCCCGCTCCCTTCCTCCTTATCTCAGGTAAGCCAAAGGCATCGGATGACTCCATATTCATAACTGGAACTGATATTACACCTCCTACAAAACCTAGGGGAGCCACTCAGCCTCCTCCAGCCGGTTTCCTTACAGCTACGGTTACACAGATTCCCACACAGCCGGCCTTCACTGACATAAGTGGAACAGACTCCTCTTCTCAGCCTCTCTCCCTTGATTTAATCGACTCTGACGACAATGAAATATTAATTGAGCCGGTGACGGGGAGCAGCCTCGACAGTCATTTTGATCCTGCGTACCAGTTTATAACGAGCACGGGAGATACCCCAAAGCTCAACGAGACGCCAGGACCACTGATGGACTCGCCAACACCTGCTGCCTCCATTCCTCCAAGCATTCCTCCAGGTTTGAGGTTCCTTCCTGTCCCGACATTCGTCCAAACTTCAGCCTCCACTCCAGCCAGCGGACAACCCTACTGGATATCCAGTAACTGGAGCACCGTAAGTATTGTGTTGTAATAATTCATGCATTCCACATGTTTTTATTTTTCCAACAAACCATTAAACAACCAGAAAACGAGCCTGTTCTGACAAGATTTGATGTCGAGCTAATTCACGGCATAAACTTTGATCATCAAAGAGATCAGAAACCAACAAGTGGTGAACGGATGTTTTTTGCGTGTTACGTTCTAATTAAGTGAGGATGCAGGTGCATTCTGGATGTATTTGTGCATCCAAACATCGAATCACAAAGCATAAATCGAGGTCTGAGAGCCAGAGGGGTTTAGCTGACAACTCGGTAAAATGTTACTTACACTCCTGTGGCTCTCAGCCCTGGAAGTGTTCGTACCCGTTACTATATTTGTCGGCAGTGCTCAACCACCTGCGGCCTGGGTGCAATCTGGAGGACGCTGACCTGCAGCACCGGATCAGAGCCTGACTGTGATCCAGCCAAGAGGCCGGCCCCGGCCAGACAATGCTACCTGCGGCCCTGTTCCACCTGGAAGATTGGCGAGTGGAGTAAGGTGGGACGACACCTCTCTGAAAGCAAGATCCATGTCGGGGACAAAGATAACTGATCTTGACCTGAGTGGTGCTTCAAAGACCGAAGAAGTTATCCTTAAAGATACGCTTCTCGTACAGAGAGTTATTTTTATGAAAAGAGTTTTAGTTATGCAGATCATAGGTTCTGCTGTAAGAAGTCGAGGACCGCTGGGGCTACTGTTTGGAGGAACGTCTACTCACTGCCTTTTTGAAATTCATATCAGTCAGGCCCCGTTGATGAGATAACCCTCATTAAAACATCACAGCCGCAGACGCAGCAGATCTTGCTCTTATATAAAAAAAAAAATCCTGTCTGTGCTTTTTCCAGTGCTCCAAAAACTGTGAGAGCGGCGTTAAGCTGCGAGAGGTCCAGTGTTTTGACCTGAGAGACCAGCGACTCCTTCGGCCGTTCCACTGCCGGGCCGTGTCCACGAGGCCCCCGACGCAGACGCCATGCAACCCGCAGCCATGTCTCAGCTGGTACACGTCCTCATGGGGCCAGGTGAGCCAGAATTTTAACAAAAAAGAGATTAAAACGTTATTTCCTGGCAGGTCGTTAAATTTTTCTGAGACTTAAAGGGGACATATTATGCGAAACCAAGATTTTAATCGTTTGATTATGTACATTTGGGACTGTGGAGGGCCTATCAGCAGGCAAAGTTTGAAAAATAATGACTCAGTCATGTTTTTGTGGGCCGCCTCAGTCTGAATCCAGGAGATAAATCAGGAGGTTTCAGGAGTGGGTAGTTTCTGACGTAATAAGCATGGTAGCATTAGCATGTTAGCGTTAGCAGGGTAGCGTTAGCATGGTAACGTTAGCATGGTAGCGTTAGCATGGTAGCGTTAGCATGGTAGCGTTAGCATGGTAGCGTTAGCATGGTAGCGTTAGC